CATTGTTGTTATGGTATAATTGTGTGGACTATAACTATGGTAAATATTTTTTCAAATCGAAATTAATTATGCTTTTTCCTTCCATGTTCAGAAAAAGATGGTATATACCAATACATGGGTAACCAGGATGTCGATTTGAAATTTACTATTACATAGGATATGAAAAAAAATTTATAGCTTTGGGGTGGCAATCCAGGCTATGATTCATTTTTTATTGTAGTGTTCTTGCTATAGCAAGTATATGTTCTGGACCTAGAACGTCTGCTTTACTGAATGCATCATACAAGACATTTGGCCTATATTTTGATGGAGTTAAATTTGGGTGATGGAGGAATTTCATGAGAATATTATCTCTTCATTCCCGAGTTTCTCTACTATTCCAGCATAATTTTAGCAAATCACATATGGCAAATCCATTTCAATTTGCCTTAAGCAGGATTTCCAGTAAGCTTACTTTCCTATCGATTTCTGTAAGAAGACCTTTTTCAGCAACAATACCCCAAATTTTATTAGATGTAAAAGATAAACATTTTTTTAGTATCAGTATTTCATTGAATGGCAGAATCAAAAGTCTTTCTTCTCTCCAATGCATATAACCATCGCGTATCAAGACATTATATGCTGGCCCATTAATCACAACCATACGATTAGTTTTTGGGTTATAGATTTTTGGTTTTTTTGATTGCCTAGCTAATTTGAATAACTCCTTAGCGGTAATCGTTTCTTTATTATATTCTGTTTCTTGGATATACATTTTTGTGTAGTATATATGTGGTATATAGTGTCAATATATGTTTGATTATATTATTACAATATAGTTTGGAAAAGTTTAAATTGATTTCCTTTATCTCGGAAAAAAATTTATATGTGCCAGTGTATGTTGTCTACTTTCTGACTTCGAATAGACTTGACTATGAGAAGGTGGGATTTAAATTGGTTTTTATATTAAATATATTTGCATAAAAAGTGAAACGGGGTTTATACGTTATATATTAAAACACTTTGAATGGGGGTTCAACCTATCAATATGTTAAAAGAGATAATTCGAGATGTTTTACCTGTCCATATATTAAAAGAGATGGCTCGATTTGCGGAAAAAGTTGCTGGCAACCTGAAGGGTGTTCATTGCACTGGAAATTATATGAAAAAATGTAGCAAAAAATTTAGCAAAAATCCCTTGTGGCATTTGCGGAAAAGGAAACAATTCTGGGATAGGGTATTGTCCTAAACATGCGAAGAAGGTTTATTTTCGAAATTGGTATGAGAGACAAAAGGCACAGAGAATAGAAGCGAATGAATAATTGTATAGATCCTGATATTAAGCATCACAAAAATGGTATTCGTAATATGATATTTTTTACAAGTATCAATTTTAAGCGTCACAAAAATCCCCTTTGTAAAATATACCACAGACTCTAAATACTTGTTTTAAATGATATTGAATAAGTCCTGAGTATTTTGTGAGATACAATTAGATGGTTCTAATTCATCAGGTGAGAGTTTACTATACCCATAACACATATCCTCACCATTTTCATAAAATTGCCCTTCACTTGTTTGATATGCCGATAATTCAGGAATGTTTTCACTATCAAATGCTCCAACTAGACAATAGTATCTAAGATGTCTATCTGTAGCCTTGAATTTCAACCCATAAGTCGTAGAGATCACTGAATTTAATAGACCAAGTTTTGATTTAAGAGATTTTAAATCAGATTTTTTAGCACTGCGAGATGCATCTGTATTATCAAAAACTTGTGCCATTTTATGAACCAATTCTTGAAGATATTTTATAAATTCAGGTGATTCTAACCGTATTTTAACAATATCAGCTTTATATTTATTTCTATCATCGATATCTTTAACGGGTATACAAATTTTTAATAATTTAAGACAAATTCGATGTTTTTCAGCTCTAGTAACAGTTGCAAGCTTATCATTTCTATATTCTTCACAGGTAATGGTCTCAACTGCTGTCTCATTATTAGTACCTGCATCTCGTAATTTCTGAAGAGCTCTAAACCAGCGCATATGATTATAATTTCCATAATTTGAGATAAATTCTTTACTTAAAGATTCAGGTGATATTCTATAACAATCTGCAATATGATACAGATCTAAAGCACGCATTTTTTCTAAAGTTTTCTTTGGTTTATTTTCTAGATGCTTAGCTGTTTCGTGGTTAATAATATTTGCATTTGCAATGTATGAAATCTCCTCCGCTTTAATAACTGAAGAACACCCCTTTACTGTTTTAGTTAATGTCATGGTATTATCTTCAGGTTTGGGAGTTTGCTCTATTACTGAAACTATCATACCTGCCTTTCAGAGAAAATCAACCATTCTCCAACCAAATAGATGTTGAGAGCGGAATTTTTCCAACATATATGCCACCCATAATCGGATAGTTGGGACATCTTTATTTCGAATAATAGTATCTATATTTGAAAATATTCCTCTATTATGAAGCTCTTGAGGAAGACATCCACGTTTTGCTTCCGTCAACTATTGAAATAAACCCTCTTCTGTAGTTGGAGTTTTAGATATCCTTTGTTGGATATAACATATATAATCTTTAATGCAACGCATGCGGAATAGCATCTGATTAGTCCCAGCATTTGTTTCTATATAACTATTAAAGAGACAAAATGCACGCTCAAACTTAGTATTAATGCAAGAAACTCCTATCTTTAATGTACTGGTACAGAGGGTGGACATATTATTGCGAACACTTAAAAAAATTTTTTTAAAAAAAATTATACATAATAAAATTAGTTAAAATTTTTATAGTATATTTATTATATG